GGCGACGTGTGAGTTCCTCCCTGCGGGGAACGTGTACATAGCGCCCTGTAAAAGCCAAAGCTCGGGGGATGTTATTAGCGGCCGTGTCGACTCGCTCCAGCTATCTAAATGCTCGAAAGAAAATTCAACTATTTTATTTCCCCGTCTGCTGATCCGATCTTCTAAAACACTGTACTCTCGTTATCGAAATTTGTTGCAGGTTATGTGTGAGCACTTTGAAATCACAGGTTACGTATACCACCGGAGTACGCGTCAACCCTTTGTTAATCTAACCTCAAATTTATAGTCTTTTCTGTTCTATTATTATTTTAGTTTTATTTTACTTCCTACTCTTAATTTATAAAGAAACTTTCTTCACGAAAAATTGGAAAACTTCTACGAATCGGATTTTTCTACGATCGGATTACTGAGCTTCTCTTACTTGAAAACTTCATGTTCGAAAATTTTTTCCGTCTTCTTGAGATTCGATATTATATATACAATAATTGCACACTCCTTGAATCCACCGTTCGAGGGTTAAATATTCCACGGAACATTGTTGGATCTATTTACGATACGACACAAAAAGACTCTAAGATATCCAAAAACATGATAAAAATTTGAAAAAAATTTGCTTCATGCATTACCCATGTAAAAAATGTTGTGAATTTTCGTTTACGGCATCACTTGTTTCAAAATCTCTTATTTTCGATTTTTAGTCCGTTCCAATCCGTTGATTCGTTAAAACGTCCGCAAGAACTGGAGCAATACACGCGCGGCAAGTTGTTTTTAATTCACTTATCTTCGTACGTTGCCACACACACGGTCGCGTGCACGTTTCACGTTTCTCGCTGGCACAAGGACACGGTACGTGGAAAATGCACGGAGAGCGAAAGGGCTGTGCAAAAAAGTTTCAATTACGTCAAGTAACATAGGAAAGGAAAAGCGAAGGCGAAGATGTAGCGTGGAGGAACGCGAGGAAATATGCGGACACGGTATCGCCTATTTCGATAATCCGTGTGCACCGACCAAAACTTCTTTTTTTTCACGATCGAGAGCTCACGTGAGAATTCAGCGGGAAGCAAAAAAGATTCTCGATACTAGTAATATTTGTCGTAACTAAATTAAATTATCCAGGCGTATGCGTGGATCTACGAACATTTTCAGTACTAATTGCATTTATTAAACCAAGGGAACATCTGAATTTCAATTTTAATCTCAATACGAGTGTAAATTTAAATTCGAGAGTTTAAATTCCGCCGGTCTTGGGAAACATTTTAGTCGCGTCTCGTTAAACATTTAATCAAAGGCCCTCTTATTCCCGTGTCGTTTGCTCGACTGTTCTGCAAAATTATGTAATTTAAATTTTCTCCGCGTAATGTGAACATAGTACGCTTACGATAACGCGTTCAGATGCACTGCAACTGCGTTCGTACTTGAACGATGTCCACGTTTTGTCAGGTGGGCCGCGCACGACCCATATCCTCACACACGCTTCGGCTTAATATTCCCTTCTGTCGCTTGTCCAGGCGAGTTTACATCCACGGTGCGGCGCACACAGGCGCCGGCGTGTAATGCCTAACATCGAATTACAACGAGACTGAAACGAGAGAAAAAGAAAGTGTCCACTGGAGTGGCACGGCGCTCGTCGACGCTGTTCTTCGTCGCGTGTACGCGTACAATGTCATTACCTACGTATTATCCTCGCGTATGCACTTCCCTGCGACGCGACGTTTAAACTCGGTTAATGGCCACTGCGCGAAATGCCCTCGTTCTCATTTGCCTTCTGTTCCGCCGGTTATCTTCCACCAACGTGGAAGTGCCGCGTGTCGCTGATCTTATAAGCGACCGCTCGGGAAACTCTAGCCGATTATCGTGCAAGGAATTAAGCGGGCTCATTTTTCTATTCGTTCGAGAAATTGCGGAGAAATAAGATTACCCGGTTTCTCCTAACTGGGTCGGAATGAAACGGTGCTTCCCCTCGGCGGATGTATCGAGACTCTCTTTCGTCCCGCGTGGAATGTTGAAACTTTTCTCCCTCGAGGGACGAAGATTCGTCGTGAATTAACCGCGCATCGAACATCTTTTCTCATCGCCAATAATACATCGCCAACGTACAGCAGCGGTCGGCCATTTGCCATCGGATCGTTCAATCATCGGTGAAACAGGCCGCGCGGCTGCGACGTGTCGAACGCATCCCGGTGTCGGAAGTTCTCCTCTCGAGCCGACACTCTCTCTCTAGTCGTGAGACTATTAATCTCCGCTGCTGGCTCTGATGTTGTACCCTCCTTCTGAGAAGCTCCTTCTACACGCGTGGAAGGCCGGAGACGTGAACAACGGGGGTAGAGGGGGGGGGGATCGGTGCCGCTGGCACGATCGCGAACGTTATCGCAGAAGGTGTTCCGGATGCTTCTGGCGGCGTTGAATCGGCGACAGGTGCACCGCTCGGCTGCAGAAGATGCTCGGAGCGGCACGAAGCATGCGTCTGGATACTGTACGCTTCATTAACCGGCTTGTTTTCGTCCCCGTCGTTGTGGTTGTCTCGAACGTGCGCCCGCGAAAACGAAGACGACGCGAGTGCCGCTCTCTTTTGTTCGCCAACCAGTGGATCAACGAGAACTATAGTGAAGAAACAGGTTCGATAATTGTCCGCGTCTATGCAAGACGAACGTCGAATAGAATCGCGTTGCAATCATGGACGCGTAGGATGACTCGAAGAACACGTCGGTGAACTGACGGCAGCAAGTTGCCTCGTTAAAAGAGAGATATTTACGCGAGTACACGCGAGTTTTGGCGTTATATTAGGTAGTAATTGACGCAGTAAATTGGTCACGAAATAGGCGACGATGATAAATGCGTTCATAGAGTGTGAGGGAATAATAAATGCGTCTGGCGTCTTTATTAACAATACCGAACGGCGGAATAAAAGATTTCGTTGAGAGATTCTCGCGGTAGCAGCCAGCTTTCAACAAGAATCTCGACCGCGGTAAATTTGACGGCCGCATCTTTCTTCTTTTATTTTACGTAACAGATTCTCAATGGGTATGCACACATGTACACGCTCACATACACACACACTCTAGTGGATTACCGTCTCTTTAGAAGAGTCCCTCTGTGCGACGAGTTTTTCTAATGAAACGAAAATACGCGCGCTCGAGGGACGGAACTGTGGAAAACGTGGAGCAAGAAACGCGAAAAGAAGAGGTCCGTGTTGGTCACCGAACATCGCTGCCGGGCCCATAACTATTAGTCACCCATTCTCTTTCTTCACTCCTCCTTTTTTTCTCTCTTTCTCTTCCTCGAGTGACTTCCGATTCCAGCTGCAATCACTACGTAACCCATCCTTCTAGTCTCTCGCTTTCTCGCTTCTCTCCTGGCCTGGTTCGCCGGATAGATATAGCACTCCGCCTTTATCTCGTCCGCGTTACCGATTCCCCTTACGCGGGAATGGTTCGATTACTCTTACTACGCCGCTTACTATCTTATTCTCAAGCCGTTTCCCCTTTCCGCCTGTTCGTCATTTCGTACCGAAACGTTCCATCGACTCGCCCGTTCCCTTTCTCCACTCGGCTCCGCCCTGGGCTACTATTTTATTCCCCGCGACTGGTATCCGCTCTCCGCCGATTTTTCCTTCTCCTCGAGACGTTCCTCGAATTTTCGCAGCGATCCGATTCGACAGCGGCCACGGAGTTCGCGTGTGTTATCAACTCGAAATCGTCGCGAGAGTGTTGTTCGAAAGTTGGAAGCTAAAGAGTTGGCATTTCCTATAAACGTCGGATGCATTTGGTTGTAACGTTCGAAAGTCGTGCGTAGCATATAGAAAGTCAACAAAATCTTCTGAGAATTTGTCGATTGTGAGTCTCAGAAAAATATATTGTCAATTGTTTCTCTTGGCTTTATTACTCATTGTCAGATTAGTTGATTAACCGAGAAACTGACGCTTGTGCGAAATCTCGCCTTAAGAAAAACCAAAACATCTCGCGTGGAAACTTCTTCGTCGAAATTCGAATTTCCCTCTTGTTCTTGAGTGGATTTTTCGTTTCTCCGCGTGGTACACGATTCGGCAATTTTACTCGACGGGGAAAGAATTTCGCGACGTCCGTTCTGCCGCGTGTAACTTCTCGAAGGAAGGAAACGCGGAGACGCGTGCCCGTCGTCTCGTTGAAAAATGAGTAGACGCCGCTACCGGACTCCAAGTGCACGAAAGACGTCGTCGCGGCCGCGATGATTGTCTCGCGAAATTTTCGCCGAACGGCAGGAGGGAGTTCTTGGCGCGAAAACATCTTGCGTCAGAAGTTTCGCCGGTGAGCCAGCTGCAGGTGCTGGCGAGATTGCAGGGAATTGTGGGACCGAGGAAAGTGACATCCGCTGCTCGAGGCTTCCTCCGTGAAGCGTTATTCGCCAGCGTCGAGAACGAAGCGGAAACGGAGTGGCTCACGTGCCGAGATCACGACCGACGACAGACTTTGCCGAGTTTCTAAGCTCGCGCTGCGCTGCCGTCGTCATTGCTAAAAGTTCATTAGAAGCGGCTGCTTCGTTCCTCAAGTGTCTTCCTTTTCTTCTCCCTTTTTTTTTTTTTTTTTTTTTTCTTTGCTTGGCAGGCTGAACTTTATCATCGTAACTCGGGATTTTTATTACTAAACTTAACTCTGTACATTTTCTACTTCTAGGTGGACGCGCGATATTCTTTTTTTTTTCTTCTCTTTCTTATTAAAATCTCCGTGTACTTTATCGCGAGAAATGTTTGCACAGAAGATGGTCGGTCGTAATTAAACGCGACGAAATACGGAGCTGCGAGAGTTCGTGTTTGCCCGTATCGCGCGACGATACCGAGCGCGAGAAAGGGACAAGCCGTACAAATTGCCATGCGTCAGAGGTAAAAAGAAATCACGCGACCGCCCCGCGCGCACGCCAAGGGGTTAATTTGACGTGCGGCGACGACGAACGGGGCACAGCGCGCCTTATTAATTTACGCGCCGGTGGCGCGATCGCGCGCGCGGTCTCCTCAAAGAGTCGCGGACGTTCCTTTCGTTCGTATGTCGGAATAATTTAGCGGCAGAGGCTCCAGGTCGGAGGCGAGTCAACGGCGTGTTAAATGCGCATCGGCGCGCATCCTCGTGCTCGATGGTTGCCTGCCGCGTTGTTCTTGTTATTATTTTATGCTTCTTCTGGCCGACGTAGCCGGCACTATACCACGAGCGTACATCTCCAGCGACTCGATTCGACGATGGCTCGCTGCCCCCCGTCGAGTTACGCGATGCACCGTGCCTTTTCCTTTCTTGAAACTGTCCGTTCCTCTTCCCACCAGCCTCCGTATGTCTCGATCTCGTAACCCCTTCGTCTCTCTCGTTGCTCAAACTCACGTTGCAAAATATTCTATTTGTGGCCGACGGCGGAAACACGGTATCGTGGCTACATCCTCTGGCGACATCTCCACGGTCCATCGTGTACATATGTACACGTCGCCGCGGTTGCAGCCAACCAGCATGTACCTCGTCTGCGGGCTGACACGCGTGCCACCGAGACCAGCCGATGTTTCTCGCTCTTTTCTTCGGCGTACGCTGGTCGCTTTGCTTCTCCTAATCTCCTTTGAGACTGGTCTCGCTGAGAGAACGAACGTGGCTCACCTGTGGATTCACCAAACAGAATGAAACACAGGAAGGTCAAAGGTGGAATTCCACGGATCGAGGATTTCTCGGTACGTATGTTGGGGAATGCGATAAAAACGCGACCGCGAGACAATTGATCGATCATCGTACGAACGATTATCGAATAAAGTCGAATGAAACTGGCAACTAGCGTTGGTACGATTGTTCGGTGTGTTAAAGGCGTTGCGAGGTAAAGTCGAATCGACGTTTCGTCAAGACGCGCTGCGAGACGAAGGAAACCTTCTTCGCTCGCTTTCCCCCTCGTCATCTCCGCTGTTCATCCTAGCAGCGCACTTGACGCTTCTTCTGATCATCCAGTGCAGCGGCTGCTCGCTACCAGCGTCCGCGTACGTGGCACACGCTGCTTGGTAACATACTTGAAGGTTCTTCAGTTTATACGAGCATTGAAATTGCGCGGTCTGACGTGGTAGCTAGGCAACGCGAAAGTGCACGGAGAGCCCCTCGTTAGTACACCTAGCACTGTCTAGTTCGCGTAGCGAATATGAAAAGCAGGGATAGGAAAGTCGAGGAACTGGCTGGGTAAGCAAAGAGGATGACTCGGTTTCTTCTCTCGGGCCTGCCTTGTGCCGCAGTCTCGGGCATTAGCATCATACACAATTTCCACATTGATCTTTCTATGCGAACGGATAGTCTCGGACTCGTCATTTATTTTTCTGTAACCTGCAAGGAAATCGTACCTCCTCTCGTGTCAACAAATCTAAGAACGTTTATGCATTTGTAGAAAGTTCGAAGTGGAGCAGCTTGTTACAATCTTTGACAACAGATGCAACAAAATTTCTGTGGAAATTCTATTTTCGAAAGAAATATGAAACTACTAAAGATCCATCAGTCCATTCTTGGTAAGAATCTCGGAGGAAAAGTTCCTCTTAGCGCGCTCTGATTGTCGCGTTACGTCACGTTGTAACCATCACGTTTAGAACGAACGAGGCGATTCGATTGATCGAGAGATCGCCGTTGGAGGGAAAACGTTTGACCGATCGCCGCCATCGAGGATCCCCCGACTTGCCTCTGCCGCACGAAAAGCGGTTTTCATCTCGCAGCCACCGGCGGAAAAACTAACGACGCCATTTCCGCTCGGTCTGCCGCGCTTGCCCCCCGGCACTTGGCCCCGGCCTTGGGACCAAGTTGGTCGACGTTCCCTCTTCTTTTTCGACAAGATCCTCCGAAAGAGAACGCATTTATCGTCGCTCGGAGCGCGGCAATTTCTCTCGCGGCTAGCGGACGAATTCTCCGAACGCTGGTTCGAGGTAAAACGCTGATCGCGTCAGCCTCGATCGAGTTTCAGACGTTTGACGACCGAAGAAGGCCATTTCCCGAGGAATAAACGCGGAGACGCGGAGACAGTCGTCGCGCTACTGAATAGAGACGTTTCTTGTCTCCCGGCTGTTCCGTGGAAAACCGGACGAGGTCAGGGAGTAACGTTTAGTTCTATTAATCACATTATCTCAGCTTCGAGGTTTTGTCAAGCCGGGCTCGCCGGCCGTGACTCGTCCCTGAGAACGACTCTCTCGTAGAATTATAGCCGACACGTAATTTCTTATCACCTGGTTATTCGCGCTGGAAATCAACGCCAGTCTGACTTTTATTAGTATCGCAGGTGTATAATTTAGAATTGCAGATTACCGTGAGGAAAAACCATTTCGCATCCATCGGGAAAGCCGCGACGCGATAACACGACGTATAAATTGTTCGCGTTGCGAGTTTTCAGTTATATAACGGGACGAATTACAATCTTTATACACCTTTTGAGACTGTTCACCTTGAAACACGGTCGAATTTGGCCGATTTGAATATGCATTTACATCGAATGGGGCTATGCATAGAAACCCGGAGACATGTTTGACCGCAGCGGTAAGGTATACATTTGTATTCATACGGAAGGACGAAGCTTCGAGGGTGCACGTAAGTACCCCGCGCGTAACTTGGCGAGTTTGCGAGAAGGTAAAATCAGTAGCGAACCCGCGCTGCAGAAGAGACAGAACTCTTGGTTTGATATATGATTACAAGTTCTCCTAACGGAGTTGGAAGTGCCAACACAATTCACTCGCTCTTCTCCTTCCATGCTTCCGTTCTTCTCCTTTGTACTTTGTCTCTCTCTCTCTCTCTTTCTCTTTCTCTCTCTTTGCGTTTTCTTGGTCACTGGTGACGAAAGACGCCGTGTAAGAAGTGCCGCGCGACTCGAGACGTATGTACAAGGAATTTGCAGCGTTTGTTCGTCGCGAGCCAGGAAATCGCAACGCGCAGGCTCAACTTTCCACGGGATACGCGGGTCCTAGTTGTACATTCTCCTAATATTTCCTTCTACATATTTCCCTCGACCTATTTCCTCGACTCGGGGAAAATTTTCAATGGGTACGTTCGACGGCAATTTCTTTGCGAAAGAAGATTGCTTCGGGAAAGAAGAAGCTTTGGAAGAGAACGCTCGGAGAGTTTGTCTGGCGCCCAGTTGATTCGACAAACGTCTCGTTCTCGTCGAACTACGGGGGAGGGAAGGCAGGGCATAAATCATCGCCGAAGAGGAAAGGTTAACGATACGACAAGCGAGCGGTAGTCGCAGCGAGTTAACGGGTCCGCGCGTGAATTTACGAATAATTCGGTTACCGTGGCTCTCGCGTCGATTCATTTGGCACGAGTGCGAAATTTCGATGGCGGTGAAGGTCGGTCGAGGCGAAGGCGAATTGCGGGGAAACGGCGCGCAAGTTACACTGCAGAGGAGGAAGTCGGCGTGCCGGGCGAGGCTAAACTCCGCCGGCGAAACTAAACTAATTTGGCGAAACTTTTATTAATATGCAACTTCGGTCGGAACGGTTTGACCGGGCGAGGAATGGATAAACAAACGCGGAGAGATAACCCCGTCGCGGAGTTGGGTTGTGCGCGACTGGCGCGGCTCGCTACGGGACACGCGCTCTCGTCGGAGGAACCTCAGAGATAAACGGGGAAAACGTAGGTGAGAATCTAACTTGCCGGAGAATTACCGGGAGGGATGCATGTACGTATATCGGTTTATCCATTACGCCAATTTATCCAAACGTGGAACAACGGTGTTGAAACGACGCAGCGGTTCAGGTAGCGGGGCGCGAGATTCTCGGGAACACGGGAACGAGACGCGAGCGAGGCTTGCTCGTATTGGAGGTGTCGGTGTTCCTCGGGAATCACCGCTGTATAACTTGCATGTCAATGTTAATCTGGTCGAATGTCGGCGGCGACACCGTGTCGATCGTGCATGGTGTAACGGGTTCGAAGGTTGGAGCGAGCGAGCGAGCGAGCGAGCGCGCGCGCTGATGCCACCGCCATCGCACAGCGGCCACCGGTGGATGCGCGTCGAACTCGTTCGGAGGTAAGATTGAGCGTGGTTGTCATTCGGCCGGCATAAGATTAAGCGCGCATGTCGTTCGAATTTACAGGAAGATCGATATCGGGCCGAAACAATGGTTTTACCAATGCAACGATATTAAGGCAACGACTTGGCTTAAATATCCTTAAGTATCGTCGAGCGAGCAGCGTTGCGGGGCCACGTAGCGGGACCAGCGATCCCCTCTCGACGTCCTCTCGCGAGATTTATTAAGGACAACGAGAGTTTCGAGCGCGGTATTAAACAGGTTGCATAAACCCGGCCGCGATTCGAATAATTAATTACGGAGGATGGATGAGTCATTTTTCACTAGGCGCGCTAGAGCTCGCCGCGCGCTCCAGACGGGAGAGTTATCGGTTCCACAAAGTGGCTGCCGGTAGAAGTACACTTTCTTTTTCTTCTGCGATCGCCCGTTCGTTCCTCCTTTTTCACCGACTCTATTTCAACCTAGCACGTTCACCTCGCGCGTACACAACGATATCAACGGTAATTAGTCTTCAATGTCCGCCAGTTGATTCGATTCTATTCGATTACCTGCGCAACGGCTCCGCCGTGTTGGAAAAAGTCGAGTCGAACCGTGGGGGAGCGAATCCTCGAGTAAACACCGGTGTATCCTCTTTCTTCTGTCGCTCTTCCATTCTGTCGTTCTGCTCCTCCCTCCCCAACTCCTCCTTTTCTCCTCTTCGTTGTTCGCCTCCTCTTCGGCTTCTCTTTTTCTTCGTCTTCTTCCCTCCCTTCGTCCCTTCTCCCCCTCCCCCACGTCCTCCTCGTCCGCCATCCTCGTCCGTGGGTGTAAATCTGTCTCCCAGATTAAGTCCGAACCCTGAGTTGTATAAATTGAAGCCGATCTCTCTGCCGGGGCTCCGGAGTAGCTACTCGGGCCACTTTATTTTCGTTTATTTGTTGTCGGCAAACATGCCCGGTCTTCCTCGCAGCGGCGAGCAACCGGCAACGACCAACGACCAACGACCAACGGCGCAGCGTTCCGCTCGCACACGTTGCACCACCACCACGTACGTACGCGCGTCTCTCTCCCACACACATTCACCCACACTGGCTCGTTTCGTGCGAGTTGTGTGTACGCTTGTAAGCAAGTGGCCGTGTGTTGGTCGGTGTATGGAATTTCGTGCACGCGCAACCCGCACACGTTGGCCCCCGTCTTTATTATGCACGACAGTTTGCGGTTGCGGATCTTTAATACGAACCTTGCGAATGCATGCACTCGGCCCGCGTACACACGCGAATTTTCACCTGATCGTCGGAATCGTGCCGTGTACCACCGGCGAATCGCAAAACGATCGCCATACAAATTCGAGAATTCCGCAAACTCCCGTGTGTTACCAATTTCTTTCTCTCTCTCTCTTTCTCTCTCTGTTTTTTCTTTTTCTTTTCCGATGAAAGAAATTTACGTTCCGTCGCGTATCGTCGCGTCGTCCACGATTTCACAAAAATCTGTTCCGTTTCAACGTGTATCCACGTTCGGTACAACGTGCGCAACCCGCGTTCGCTTTATTCAGGCGAACGCGAGCATCTTGCGTACGCGAGAGTAAGCCGATCACGCGTCCTGGAAAGACGCACGAAGGCATCGGCTGCATTTACGTTCGCGGGGATCTTTCCACGAGACGAGCGCAAAGTCCCGACATTGTTGCAAAGTCCCGGGCGAAATTGGACCCCTTTGTTGCATAATAATAAGCACATTAATACCGCGACAGAAAAAGGTATTTCCACAGCGAAGGTTCGTCGCATATTTCCTATTGGGAGCCACGCGGCTGTTTCGTTCGAAAAAAAAAAAAAAAAAAAGTAAACAGCCGGAACGGCCGAACAACATCACGCGGCTGAAAATTTACTCTTCTGCGCGATAGTCTCGCTATTTCATTTTTTATTATATCGCCGTCCATTCACGCTTTATTGCTCCCAGATGTAACTGAAAGCCGTGCTTGTCCGCGCGTTGTAGCCGTGCCGCGGATAATAACGACGTATAAATATCACATGTTCACCGAGAACGAATCGCGCTCGTAAAGCATTGACCTTC